AACACCAACCTCGGGTGAGGAAAAGCTCTGACTTTGCTGTGTTCAATTGTCTCCTTAGCCTTAGCGATCTCAGCATTCAAGTCAAAGCCTTCCTGGCTAGCCTCCATCAAAGTCTCGAGGCGGGTATTCAAAAAATCCCAACTTACATCCAATGTCGATTTATCTTCAAAGGCTTCGTAATCTTTCTCCCACTACTCAATTTCGGCTTTCAACTCTTCATTCTCAGTCAGAGAAGCATCATAAGAAGCTTTCAAAGGAGTGAGGGAACTCTCCAAGAACTGGATCTTATCAGAGGAGACACGGAGGTCTTCTTGAACCTGAGTGAGTGTTTGAACTAGCTCCCCGGCATAAGTCTCCTTCTGATTAAGGAGTTCTTTCAAACCCCTTATCTCCTCGATAGCTTTAGAAAGTTGCTCTGCAAATGAAGACTCAACGATGTCTTTGTCTCTGCCAACTTGACTTGAAGAGGCTTTTTCAATTGCCAATTCTGCCGCCATCATTCTTATTTGATGTTCCAAAGCACACTTCTCTTCAGCTAAAACATCTTTCTCCAATTGAAGACCCTCATATTGTTCCTTGCAGTTATCCGCTTCAGTATGATAATCATTGACTAGCTGCTCAGTGTGAATAATTCTCTTCATAAGCTCCGTTCCTATCAAATTGATCTACAAAAGAAAAGAAAGAAGTGATGGTCAAACAAAAGTAAATAACCACAAGGAAAATAAAGGAGAAAGATCATACTTGAACCTTCAAAGATGAATGAACGATATCATTCATCCATGTCAAAGAGCTATGGCTTTCCAACTTTGACTTCTCAATTGGGCCAAGTAGAGGTTTCAACCATACGTCGGCTTGACCAGATTTTTTCAACAGATTACCATCTTCAGGGACTTCTATGGTAACCTTTTTCATCACCCTATTACTATTAGAAGTACCAACTTTAACATGAGAAATAGTAGCAGTAGGGATAGTTGAGGAAGTGAAAGCAGCCACGGGAGGAACAGCAGCAATAGCAGCAGCAACAAACGGTAGATTAAGAACGAACGGAGACTGATACTGGAAGGGAAGCAAGGGGTAATTCTTTAGAAACAGGACCAAAATCTTCACTATCAAAACCACGGGAAAATAGCTGATCAGTAGAATCAGGAGGGGGAGCATTCATCTCTTCATCAGAACTCACTAATGTAGCTTCTTCAAGCTCATTCAAAGGAATTGAACTTGGAGGAGGGGTGGATTCATCATCTGAAATAACGTGCTTCCTAGCCCGAGGCATGCGCAATAAGGAACCCTCGTCTTGTTCCTCTTCACCTTCAGAGCTACGGGCTCCGTTTGCTTTCTCGATGAAGAGCTCAGAATCCTTTCTTGAGCAAGATCCACTGTAGGCTTTGCAGATGAAACAGAAGCGGGACTAACACCACAAATGGGAAATCCTAACAAAAGAAAAGAGTTCATAGTAAGAAGCTCTTAAACTAGCAAAAGAGAAAAAGAAGAAGACTAGGTGGGAAAAAGTACTGCGTGTCTTAACTTTCCACCCAAATCTCTGTGAAAGATACTTCCAAGATCTTCTTTCCGAAGGAGCAACAATAATAACTTTCCTACCCAAGCACAGAATTTGGGGATCTCTTCAAAAACTTCCATAGTTGCTAAAAGTAGGCACGAGTATACATAAGAATACTTTTTGAAGAAGGAAAAAGATAAAATTACAAATACTTACGTGCAAATTCCACTTTTCTGGAAAAGGCATGTTTTCTTCACCCACCAAAGCACTAGTGGGAGCAGCAATGAAGCGAGCACAGCCTCGGTCTCTATCATCCTCTGGGCTAACTAATACTCTCTTACTTTTGGCCACAAGGGAAAAAACTCCTTCACGAAATAGTTTGGGAGAGTAAAGATGGAGCAGGTGGCGAAAAGTATAAGGCATAGAAGCCAAGTTTGATATACCGGAAGCATGCAACCGCTCTCCAAATAATAGGACCAATCTGTCCTAAACCACATTGAAGTAACGACAGAACTCAATGATTACCGGGTCAGTAGGAGGTTTAAAACCTAGGGTAAAAGGATATGTATAAATGACGGAATAGCCAGTTTGGTGTGAAGTTATTCTTTGGTTAGAACCAGGAACTAAAATTGGGAAGTCGGGTTCCAATTACATTCTCTTCGAACCAAAGCGAGAAGACCAGTGGTAATCAGACTTGGGTAACGATCAGCACGATCAAGGGAAGCAGCCATGGAAGAAACTTGACTCTTCATGGATTCAATATCAGTCACAAAGGATAGATCTTGAGGAACAATTTCATCAACAGTGGGTTCACGAAGGGCTTCGGTTAAATCTTTATCCTTAGAAGAAGATCTTATGGTTGTAGAAGCCCTAGGTCTAGAAGAAGATAGATTGGCAGCACTACTTTGAGAGGGAGAACCACGGTTAGAAATAGAACCGAGGCTACGCAATCTACCACCTCTTCTACTCCTAACAGGGACAGTTGAAGGGGAAAGTTCATCAATAATTACTACTTTGCGAGGTTCAGGATTTGATGAATACATGGTTGTATAAGGAACTAATAAAGTAATATGTGCTTAAAAATAAGAACGAGTGAAGAAGAAGAACACTGTAGGATGAAGGTTTTGTGAAACTAAAGGTACATGAGGTACTTATAAGAAGAAGTAACCGTCATGTAAAATAAGTCATAATGGAACGTCATAATGAATCAGTCACTTCGTGACTGACGCAGCCGTAAGAAAGCCCTAAAAAGCGCTGAGGAGTCACAGACCTAATCATCAAAGGCCACGTGGAACATGCATTAAATGGAAGTGACATACGACACGTCGGTTCTGAAGAAAACGCAATGATGCTTGGGAAACGGCGGCAAAGAATTCCCGCCATAAATACATACCAACAAATATTCAGTTGCAGAATATTCGGCAAGTGGGGGGGCCTATCTGTATTGGTGGAAAATAAATAATACACATGGAATTACATTTGGCAGATAGGACATGATACGTGGAACAATGAGAAGAAGACAACTGGAATATTATAATATAAAAGATGAACGAGTTACAAAATGCACGAGAAAAGCCTAAAATAGTGGATGAAGAGACACGGGCGTAATGAATTAAGACAGTAAAAAGGGAAGATTGATGAACCTTCAATTAATGAGGAGGGGGAATCAGTATCGTTATAGAATCCTCGTGAACAGTTACGATTATCAATTATAACGGATCATTAATACCATTAAAGCTCATAATGATTTAGCCATAAATGAAAGGAAACATTATATTTGTAAACCTCTATAAAAGAGGAGAGAATTTCACTTGTAAGGACATCTGAGGCAATATTAAAATATACACTTTACTTTCTTGATTTCCCGAAATTCTTTGCTTTGACTTTGCAATCAATTATTTTTTTAGTTATTCTTATTATTTTCTTTTGATATCGTTAAGAAAGTGAAGCAAAACTTGGTTATCAATAACCCGTTTTCTTCAAAAATTAGACTTTGACCGAAAGTCATATTTTTGGTTTAACAACTAATACTATAAGATTCCTTTGCTGCTCTGTAGTGAATTAGTGGCTTTCTCATGCACTTGACTTTTTGCCAAGGACATCAAATACTTGACCCAAAAACGTGTGTTTTCATTGGTGTTAAAGTATTAACCCTAGATGGACATTAATGCCCCGGGAAATCTGATTTGCTTTCCGCTTTTCGAGTTCCAAATAATTAGGCAAATGCGTTAGCGACTTGGCATATGAATAATCAATAAACAGAAGGGTAAAAAAAAAATATTATCTCCATATAATTCTCAATGTTGCGTCATATATGTTTTTAGGGTGCCAAATTTCTCCTTCGCACTTCTAATTCTAAACTGAAGTGTGTCACAATCTAATTAGCTCTACTCTACAAATCGTGGATCGGGTCTCTTTTTTTTTTTTTTTAAGAACTTAGAGGGATATTCTACGGTCTGAGGGTTAACTCACTTGGTGAACTCCCTGCCTTCTATAGTTGAAGTTAAAGGTTCAAACCACATCAATAGTGTAGTATCCCTTTTTCCCCCTTTTTCTCATCCCCGATATAATTAATTTTTTTTATTTAGAAAAAGGGGTATTCCCTGCATAAATCTCTCAAAAATAGCGGAAGTGCACAAAAAGCCGCTTGGTGCACTGTTGTCCAAGAATAGCCGAAAGTTCCAAAGTATTTAAGAACAGCCATCTCATAATCTGCAGGACTGAAGTTGAATATTCCAGTATGAAGTTTAGAACTTTAGATATACGAATCTGAATCTGAGGACTCCCAAGCCTAGCTGCGTACGCAGAAAATAATGTTTAAAATCAAACATACGGATCGGAACATAGCCATGGCAGAGCCCAACTTCAGACCTGAATGACACTAATAGCCTCCTGCTGTCTCTATGTAAGACATCACCAGGCTTAGGGCGCCAGTGGGACAGCACAAGAAGATACATACAGCTACCAATTATCGTCTTAAAGTGATTATTTAGCCACTTTTTAAAGCCAGACTACACTCAGAAGTATAAAACGCGGAAACGCCTATCAGATAATTCTCTAATAGAACCACACAACCTTCAACTATGCTGACAGCATTTTACTGTACATGATCCTCACTGAGCAGTCATCATCAGCTAGAATGCCTAACAAAACACCACAACGCTTGAAGGGCCAGCAGTATCTAAACTTTAAATAGTTTTTGAAAACAGAATATAACTTAAATAGAGATAGAGGTGCTCAGAGTGGATACCTAGTGCAATTCCTACTCAAAGATACCTCCATTCAAAACATATACTAGTAGAGAGAAACCGCAATTGTGGAGATGATGAGTTCTCTATTGCTAAACTCTAAACACTAAATATAGTTGACTTTCACTACAATAATAGAGGGTTTAATACCAATGATGTAAAAATCAAAGACAATGATGTGAACAGCAAATTATATCCAGGTTATTTCAACCATTCATCAACCAAATAAGCCAAGAAGTAATAGACATCAGTGCTTTAAGCAGAAAATGGAATATGCAATAAAGCATGAACAGGTCAGACAAGACAAGGGATACGAAATATGGAGAAAACAAATGTGGTTCCTCCCTAATTGCACCAAGACCAACGACACTTTATTGGGGCTGCTAAGTGAAAAGGAGGAAGGGAAAAGTAGGGATTCACCTCTGCCATGTAATCATGTAAACGTCTTGTAATCATGTTAACCGACTTGTATGAAGCACAGATATTATGGGAACACACTGTTGTTAAATAATGTCTATTATGAAATATGTATATACAAGTCAACAAGCACATGATCCACTGTAATTCCTTTAGAACATGCTAACTGCACTAAGTTTGTAAGCCTCCGGCATAAATCTAAAACCAACCATGGAGGGTCCAGAATTTTTAATTTGCAACGAAATGGTATCTTGAGTCAACATAGCTCTCAACATCCCAGAGGAAAGACCCAAAAGTTACAGCCTCTAAAACAAGCCGCCTCAGCCCTCCAAAACTGATCTTAAGAAGTTCATCTTTAGAAGAGTCAACAGTGCCTTGAGGGGTGATAACAATCTCAGGTCTACCAAATAGTGCTTCGGTATGTTTCTCTATTATGCCTATGGCCTCTTTAGATCTGATGGTTGCATATCTCTGGAGTGTCTCCCCATCAAATGACATCACATAGTTTCTCAATCTTGAGGGCTTTATGCCATGGCCAAACCCTCCAGAACTCGCACTACCTGCAGACCATGATGACAATTCTGGATGGGATTGTGTTACCCTGAAAGAAGTATCACTCCTATCACCAGACCTAATCTCCTCCCCTCCCACTTGCCGAATGCTACTATCTTCATCGTCTACACCCTGAGGAAGGACTTTCATGGTCTTTTCTAGCTGAAACCTCTGGTCCACTCTCTTGAGGAAATATCCATACATAACTGATGCTGCATAAACTTGGCCTACTCTTAATTTACTTATTTGAGCCACTGCAGAATGATCACCCAATCGACTTCCTAGAATGAGAGCCAGGTGGTTTTGAATCATCTCATTAGCTTCTGCTGAATGAAGACGCTCAAACTTATCGTCTTGGCTGGGCCATGTATCAACACGACCAGAAGGTTCAGATGAAGGCGGACTGACTGCAGGAACTAAAGATACATTGGCATCCATAAATTTCTGCACCACCAAAGCATACAATATCTCCTCTAAAGCTTTTTTCCTGTCATTAGCCTTAACCTCAGCAATTCTCCTGATAGTTTAGAAAAGTGACCATGCAACAAATTAGACTCGCAGCAGTGATAAATACCATAACAGAAGACAATAACTCTTTTGGGGAAACCACCCCCCCCCCCCCCCCTTTTCTTTTTTTTTTTTTGGAGGGGGGGGGGGGTTATGAGTTTCAAAGAAGCCTAGGCCAACCTGTACAAGACAATGTCAGTACCAGTTGCAGATGGTTCTTCCTTCTGTTGCTCTGAGTCGCGTTCAGTTTGAAGCTGTTCAAGCTGCTGATCTACAGCAGCAGGGACAAGATGTGGGTGACTTGTCAAAATCTGAGAGAGAAATTGGCCAACTGGAGATTCCAGCTGAAGTGGAGCAATAGGGGCAGCTGAACGTCCAGACTCCGAGGGTGATTGAGATGCCCTGATCGAGGTACATTTTCTGCTACTAAAAGCCGCTTTCTTGTTACTCAACTTCACATGAGAAATTGAGGGATAAAGCTGCCAATAACATGTCCAATAAATTAGGTGTCAGAGAGCATTTTCAGATGCATAAGGTTCCTAATTTATGCCAACTACCAGATAAACCAATTTAAATAGATAGTTTTGCTCAGATCACATCAAGGAAATCTCTTTATTAACTGAATGAAGATGTTTCATTGTCATATCCAAGTGGATAGATGGATTAAAAATAAATAATGTTGGATTACATAGGTCAATGCACGTTGAGCCACAAAAAATAAGCAGCAGAAGGATTCAAACAGATACCTTTCATAGTCGCAATAATTGCATACTCAAGGCATAAAATTCTTAAGGCTACCTTATAAGACCAAAACTTATATCAAGCACAAAGGGAAATTTCAGAAACAGCCTAGCACATATTCAACAAATTTAGTAGAGATATCCAGGATCAACAATTCGACACATGTCCAGAAGACAGTATCGATATACATTAACAAAAAAGAAAAGGAGAAACAAAGATAATAGAAGCATACAGCATTTTTCTTTTCTGACAAGTCCGCAGACACCATTTCCCTAGACAGAAGGTGAGGAAAGAACCAGAGGTAAAGGAGAAACTGCAGCAAGACATCAGCCAAACTACACTAATTCAGAAAGGAATGGCAATTGACACACAAAAAACTGGGCTACATCACTCCGTTTCACAAACCTTGGGATAATAGTCAAAAAAAGGGATGTCTGTTAACATGGTAATATCTTATTTTGGACAATCTATAGTTTTAATACGCTCTGGAGGCATTACATACTACCATAATCTTTCCAATATAACCAGCGGGCATAAGTATCCTAAGGCAAGGCAAAATAAAATTCTCCAACGATAAGATAAAAATCTAGTGCAGTGTCTTCATCAAAAGATGACCTGGCCTGGTTATATCTCTAACAAGAATGTTCGCATTTTTAGAGTAAGAAATAACTTTTTAATAATGTTTCGAACCAACAACAACCTTTATTTGCTTAAAGGTCAACCCCCTCCTCGTATTAAGTCTTAATAAGCCAAAAAATGGTAGATAACCTTCAAGCTCTGAGAAAAGCATAAGGTCGGTCATAACTTGGTCTCCAAAATTGGGTGGACTACGATGAAGGTTTTCCACACTATGACATCATCTCCACCATCTACTCATAATACAGAGAAAGAGGTACTTTTTTCTCCGATATTCGGGGGCATTGTCTTACACATTTAATTGTACTTCAGGGAATCCAATTAGCCCCACTAGTGGGATTACACCGGGCCGATGTTGTTGGAATCCAATTAGTAATTTATTTGAGATCCATAGACGCCAAATACCATCATAGGTCTCAATAGCCTTTCATGAAGAAGATATGCTTAAGCATCAATTGTGAATATAAACAAGCTCACAATTGTAAGCCTAACTGTAAAGATCTGCATATACAAACATTGTATAATTTGATTACATACGATGTTATGCTCCTTTTACCATTTTGGCCCCTCCTCTTTCGATTTAATTCCATTCATTTACAAGGCTTAAACCTTGAGAAAACCACCCTTTTTGTCATATTAATTCTCTCTCAATTCCAAAGTTCATTTACAGTGTCTCCTATCAAAAGTTGACAACATACAAAGGCGTAATCTGCTAACAGATGTATCCAAGATATATCTGTACATCCATCTTCAAAATTTACCAAAAAGCTCAATCACTTTTACTGTCTATGTTCTACCTCCACCACAAGGAAAATTCCTGGGCAAACAAAACTTATATTATTGCAGAAGATCTGGGCTTTCGGAAAGCTGAATATGCAAAGAGTAAAAAGAAAAAGTCTTTTCCGTCAATATTCCAGCTACTATATCATAAGAAATTAAAGCAGATGCAAATGATAAACAGAACTCAATAATACCTTGATCCCAGAAGGAGAAAGCCGAAACTGTGACCCGAATCGAACAAAATCCGATCCACCAAGAGACGCCTTGGTGGGTTTGTAACAGACGCTGAAAGCAGACCCAAAAGCTGTAGCAGTTTCCATGTCTGTAGCAAAGGGATAAAGGAACAACAGCAACAATCAGAAAAACTAAAACCCTAAAACATTTGTAACAGCAAAAAAAAAAAAAAGAAGAATTAAAAGACAATTAACTTACGTATGAGAATAAAGAGCTGAAAATTGAATATAGAAAGCAGTAGCTGCAGATGGTATATAATAAAACTTGAGGATTTAGGGAATAGAGCTTTGTTCTGGTTGGCGACGGGCGCTTGTTTTGGGGAAAGTTCAGTGTGTTAAACGTGAAATGCTTGATCTATAATATAATGCACTCGCCCGACCGGGTCCCCACTCACTAACGTGACTCATTTATCTTCTTATCCTCAAAGAAAGGAACTCTGACTTTCATCAAATTACACGGATGACACTCATTTTCTTTTCCTTCTATGCAAGCTCACTAAGCTAGTGTTTAGACATAAATTTAGTTAAAATTTGAATAAAAAAACTTTTAAAGTTAAGTTAAAAAATAATTTTTAAAATTTAAAGTTTTATTTAGTATGCATTATTTGAAAAGAAAAAATTGAATTTTTGTGGGTAGAAGTAAAAATTTCATACAAGAATTACCCTAAACTAGTTTTTGAGAACTTAAAAATAATTTTAAAAATTAATCATATTTATGAACAAACAAGATTTCAAACAAAATTGAAAAAAAGTAAATCAAAATCTGTGGCCGAACGGGACTAAATATTTCCTCACCTTTTTCCTTTTTCAACATCAGGAAGGTTTGTTAAGATAGTCCATACAATAAGCAACAAATTCGCATTATAGGCATGTCAATCAAGTGTCACTTATATTATTTGTAAGACTTGCGCCAAACACCACTTTTTTTCTTGGGAAATGAGAAGGTTTCACTTATCATATGAATAAATGAAATTTTTATTCGTATTTTTTAACTATTCATTCTTCGATTTATAAAAGAGATAAGTGAAACGTCTTATAGAATCGAAATCATTTTATCTCATAAAATATTAAATGACACACAATGCATGATTTATGATTAAATATAGTAAAGTCGTAGTTTTTTTCGAAATGATTGTTTTGAAGAATTTGTTTTTGTTGAGAATTGTTCTAGTACTTGGCAGTGGGTGATTGAGTGTAATATTTTTTCATCCAAATTCCAAATGAAACTCAAAATTATTGAAACACGTTTGTATTTTCATTTACTACTCTTTTTTACATTTTAGGATGGAGGGCAAGGACATTTTGGTAATTGAATAAGGGGGTTGGTAGATCTATTTAATTAGTGGATAGGTTTTGGGCTGGTCTTCTGGAGAGATCTGGGCCGGTCTCGTTTGAATTTGATGTTGATGGGTCACGATTGTGGTAGCCGTGCATTTTGATATATGGCTGATGACGCGTTCCATTTCCGCTGGTACTCCTCTTCTATGGCTTCATTTATTTTTACCACATTAAAAATCTAGGCACTGGGGTTTAGCCTCGTGGACCCATATTACTCCGTCATTTTTCTAGGTACATATTTTTTGGTTTTATTTGGAATATAACTAAATAGTGAAATTAATTTAAATGGTCGTGATTTGGTCAAGAGTCTTATGTATTTAAACAGGGAAATTCTCATAAATTTACTAAGCAAGATGAGTCAGGTACTTTGTATATATCAATTAGTACTATGATTCCCTTGTACAAGTTTTGTCACGTGAAAAATCAGTAGAAATTAAAAAAATAAAAAATGAAAAAAAAAAAAGAGCATTAAATCAGTAGAACTTAAAAAAAGAAAAAATGAAAGAAAAAAAGAGAGCATTACGAAACAGATTTGTAGGAGGCAGACAAATTTTCTATTTTATGCAGGTATTTGAATGTGAAGAAACAAAGTATTTGGGTCAAGTTGGGCGGGTTGGGTTATGACCCATTGTTTAATCCATTTTGACACAGCACATCTTAGCCAAGTACAATTTGGGTTGGGTTGGGCAATGACTGTCGATGCCCCCTTTTTCTCGCAAAATCGGGTTTGTGACATTTGGACGGACAACTCTTTTCCTTTTGGGAATTGGGTTAGCAATTTTGAAGAGTCGCCACCTAATGATTAAGTGTATTAGGACACTAAGAAGAAATTTGATTTAGAAAAGCAGTGATTGGGTAAGGGCTTGAAATTATCTCGAGGGGAAGGTGTTAGGCACCCCTCAAGATCCACTAGTGCGGTTCCCGACCATGCTACAATTGTGACTTTAAGTGCAAGCAAGAATTACAAATACAGGGTAGTTTTCACATAAGGTTTGCAAGCAACAAAAGAAGTTAAAGGGGTTGAAATTTGGGAAGAAAATAGTTTTGAAATTATGAAAGTAAACAAGTAAAGGGCAAGGGCTTTGCACATAATTTTTGCGAGCAATTAAAATTAAGTTAAAGAAGCAGAAATTTTGGGAAGAAAACAGTTAAAGTTTTGAAAATAACCAAAGTAAAAGGGAGGGGTTTTCACATAATTAATGCAAGTAATTGAAGTAAAGAAAAAGAAAATTAAAGAAGCTGAAAATTGAGCAGTTTCTTTTAAAAATTCCGAAATAAATAAGTAAAGGGAAGGGGTCCTAGGTTTATAAATAATATGGATCACCCCACACAACACCCGGTAATCGTTTATACACGTGGTGTTATCGCGTGGTCATCATATCCATATCTATCCTTACCTACCCCGTTAAGGTATTAAACGCGGAATGGTCTCGCTTTCTTATTGCATGCTACTACCCGCCCCAATCCTATCAGCCCCGGAGGTATTTGGGACTACTAGTCCTAAAGGGAAGGGAAATTTGACTTTTGTGGTTTAAAAGGCTAAGAGTCTAAGGCGACAATCACAACATATAGAGCAGATATGGGAAAACACATAACAATTAAAGGCTCAAACAGACCTCATAAAGAGACAAAGAGAAATATATAGTTTAGCATGTCTTGCACGTACAAGTTATGGTCTTAATTAAACTTAAAGGAAGCGGGAGGCAGACTGATTTATTACATGTTTTAGATGAGAAACCCGAATCAGACCTGCCTGCTGGTTGGAATTTAACAAAGTCTGATTCCTATTAACTAATTTACCTTATGGCTTGCCTAGGCGAGATTTATAGACATAATATCTAACAATGCGGGAGCATATTAATTCTTTAAAGAAGAAGACCTGTTGATTATACAAAGCATAAGCTCTGTAGAAATTAAGGCATGCTATTTACTGATTTTTAGACTTAGGCAAAATAGGCGATTCAGATTTGGTTTATAGCTCCAATAGGCATGCTTTCTAGGTGCTAAATGATTTGAAACGTTAGAAGTCAAAATAAAAGTACAGAGGTCCTATAGGCATGGTGTCTAGAATGCTGTTTGTTATTTAAACCTATAAATATGTTTTCCTAGTGATAGATGCATATGCAGAATTCGGGAAGTCCTTTAGCCATGTTATCTATGTGGTATGCGGAAATATGGAAACCTACAGACATGGTTTCTATATGTAATGCAGGAAGCTATAGACATGGTTTCTATATGAGAATGTAGAATCTATAAACAGGATTCTATATGAAATGCAGAACCTATAAGCATGTTTTCTAGTTAATACAAAATACAGAAACTTATAAGCATGGTTTCTATATGAAAATGCAAAACTTATGAACGTGGTTTCTATATGAAATATGTAACCTATAAACATGATTTCTATATGAAACATGCAGAACTGAAAATAGGACAATGATTGCTGAAACGTATTAAATCCCTATGAACATGATATCTACCCCTTTCATGCATGATGTACCCTCCCCTTTTCACTAAAATCCCAATAGTTATTACAAGATTATTACAACCCATAATTGAATAAGAAAAGGAAGTAAAATTACATCAGAAAAAAAACTAAAAAATCTCCAACCAAGGAGAGCCTGATTCAGTCTTCTGTCTAAGGCATGAAGTAAACCAACTCCAAGGATCGAATTCCCAAAGCCTTTCTCATTTTGGGTGTGTCAGAGTTCCCAAGAGCCTCATGAACTCAGGGCAGTGCTCATACCCAAATTATAGTGCAGTGTGGAAGGGCCAGCCCTCAAATGTCCCAGTTCAGAGAGAACTCAAGGTCCCAAAGCAAGGCTCATAGGAGGGGGGAAGAACATAGGAACTAGGAGAGAGTGTAAGTGCAATAGAGGGGATTCTGGGGAAAGCCAAGACAGGCTGGTGGTCATACCCAGCAATTGGAAGTGCTGGCACACCCCAACTAGCCTATTAGCCACATTGTTTGGGAGTTAGGATCCCTTAAAGGACCAAGTCCAGGCATGAGCAACAATTTGGATGTTGCCATGTTCTGAACATAACTAAAAAACACAAAGAGGGGAATAGGGGTGCAGGGATTCACGGTAGGAACATAGTCAAAGAAATTGAAACTGCTGGTTAACATTAAACATGGGCAGTAATGCAGACAGGGGTGTAGGGATTCACAGTAGAAAACATATGTAAAGGAATTGACATTAACATTAAACATAGGTAGTAAAACAGACAGGGATGTAGAAACTGTAAAATAAACACATTGGGATGAGGCTAAAAACCAAATTAGAACATACCAGTTTCAGGAAAACAAGAAAAGAAAACAGTAGTATTGAAAAGCCAAAGTGCAAGCAAGCAGTCAGTACGCTATGATTTTAGAAGAGAACTATGAGTAGTGCAAAAAGTATGGGATTGAGAGTGTGTGATTGAAAGTTGGTCGTATTAACCGTGTCTTGTGTCAAAGAAGGTCGTGTATTTATAGTATAGAAAGCAAGCAGAAATAGGTAGGAGAATAATTTGAAAAATTAATTACAAAAGGTTTCTCTTTGATTATGGGATTCTGATTTCAAACGGGTAAAATAATTAAGGCAAGAAGTTGATCAAACACTTTTCCAAAGTAGTATAAGAAGGGTAAATACATAGAGATTTATTTAAGGAAAAGGTTTGATAGCACACGGTTTGTGCAAAATAAGGAAAGGCAATCAATCAACATTCAGTAAAATCAGTAATTGAAGATTTCATGTGAATGAACCAAGTCCAGAAGATGGAAAATTTTGATTTAAGAAAAATTAGTATTAATCAATCAAGCCTAAAGAAAAGGATTCGGAATCAAACATAAGTTGGAAAACCTTTTCCATAAGACAGAATTCATCACATATAAAACATACAGCCATGCTTAAACACGAAGAACTATTATGCTAATCAGTAGAAGAGTCTAGCATAGAAAAAACTCAGAGTCACAAACAAAGAAGTTCAAGCTCAGTTTATAGACTCAAAATGAGTCTGAGAGTCAAAGG